GGACAGACTAAACAAAATGGAATTATGCAAAGCCGAACATACGCTCGATTTCCCACCAGCTGATGTCTGAAATTTGCAAGGGTATGTCCTCACCATGTTTTTGGGGTCTGTTTGCTGAAGAAATTTACGGACAGCCTTACTAAATTCCACAGACATATGGAAGGCAGGATGGGATCCTATTAGTTTCTGTTGTGGCGTACCTAATAGATTGGCATGGTGTTTGTGGGAGCGACGAACTTCTTTGGTGTAGTTTCTTCCTGCATGCGTTGCTAGCTCAAGCAAATTTATCTTCACTTCTCTGTCAGAAGAGACCTAGCAGCAGTTTTCAACATATCTCCTATGACACACTGTTTTATGCGTGTAGGATATGCCAATGACTGGTGAGTTTAATTTGCTGCCAGTTTTCCGATACCACTTAACCTCCCTTTTTCATCAGATGTACTTGTACGTTGAGGACGGTAGTCACCTGTCTTTGTGCTTCTCCCTTATCACGTTGATGTTGGCGTTTTGCTCATTCATTCATTATAAAACAATTGTCAAAGGCAGCTTGTATAGGACAGACAACAACGAAGCAATCTTCCACATAGGTGGTGGGTCGTAGGCTATTTTTCGTTATCTATCGATACCGATTTTATCGACTTTTATCGATTTCTTGCAAAGTTTGATCTAACGGCTGGGAGTTAGCACAGGAAGGTAATCGAGCATGCTGATTACCATTACGATATTAGCTTCTAAAATCATTCATTGATTTTATTGATTTTATTGTGTTGTTTTTGCGAAATCTGAGCCACGGGGCTAAGAGTTGGCACCAGGGCGTAAGTGGGCATACTGATTTCGAAAACATAACGGAGATAGGGAATTGGCATGTAGAAGTGGGCACAGGAAAAGAGTATAAGGCATAAGGATGGGACTTTTATAATAGTGTTTTGACAGTGTTTCGAAGAGCTGGGTATGTAGCAGCTAGTGATAGTATTTGTTAAATTTTTTTATATGCACAGACAATGACCGCCAAAAAGTTGCGGACAAGCCGTCCTCCTTTCTTCGTCCCTCATTTTCAGATGGAAAACAAAGATGAAAAGTTGATCAGATTGCATGAGATGAGAGTACTTCAAGAACTACAACACACATATTACGCTTTCTGGAAAACATGGACTCTAAAAAAGTTAGAAATGTCTTAGCAAAATAGTCCAGGAATGGCCGCGTCACAAAGTCGCGGACAACAATTCTTCGAACGCGAAAATTTCTTTTTGGGTACTTTTGCTAAGCGAAAACACAAGTAATCGGAACAAGTAAGCATACTATCATACAGAACTCATCAAGGGCTATAACCTGGTTATGGCTTCCTGGAAAAGCACGAGCCAGGATTTCATTTTGCATCTTTTTGAAATCAACTTTTACTTCCCTCTTCCAAACCAAATTTTTTCACCTAAAAACTGATGCAAAACATTCTAACAAAGCTTTCCAGATAAAATAAATGTTTTCTTACTATTCTCTATGCATCTGACGTGTGCGAGTGAATTTCCTTGCTGGAAAAGGCTCTTGGAAGTGCGTGTGCAGGATCTCGCCTGCACCTCACCAATGACTTGTACAAAGCGCAGCTTCAGGTAGACTAAGGATTTTTCAGCTAAAGTTGAACAGAGCTCCGTGGTGCCAGTTCCATCTTGGAAGTTCAAAACTGTAAAATTTCTTATATTAGATTGATTTGGGAGCTCTAAGACTGTTCTGTTATCGATAAGAGCCTTCACTCGAATCACTTCTAAGGCTGGGCTTTGTCACCCCATCCGTAGAATCTGCGGGATTTCTCAGGCTCAACTCATTTGCATACCATTATTATTATTATTATTTATTGCGTAGGAAACTCCTATGCATATTACATTTAACAAGATGTCAAAGTGTAAATAACAACACAATCAACACAACAAATTGGTAGGACTAACAATATGAAGGAACTACGGCGAAAGAAGATAGTTCTCAAGAATCATTTTGAACTGACAAGGGAAGTTCACTTAATCGAAATGGCGATTCGGAAGGAGATCTATACCAGTAGATAGAGCTTGAAAAGCTGATCTCTGATATACCTTCTACACCTGATGCGTTGTTCTGAAAAAAGTTATGAGCTTTTCTAAAGCCAAATTTTCGTGCATATTGAGTGGCAAAATCATGATAATCGCTACATAAAAGTGTGCAAGTTCAAGCAAACCACCTAGTAAGTATTGTAGGTCTAATTCGGCTTCATCGATCGTTTACGAGTGTTTTCCGACCATGTTGTTTATTCACAGGCCGTCATTTCCTTCCTATATCACACTTCCGTTAATATACACAAAAAAGCCCATAACCTCCATCTAGAAGAACGCGTCGCAGATATTGAAGATATATTTGAGAACATCGTCTTACGTTCTATCCACTGGTAGTTTCCAAAAAGTTTCCGACGCGACGCGTTTTTCTAGATAGAGGTTATGGGGCTTTTTTGTATACATAATGGAAGTGTGATCTAGGATGAAATGAAGATCTGTGGATGAACATCATGGTCGAAAAACACTCGAAAGCGTTCGGATAAACTCGAATTAGACCTAAAATGCTTATTAGGTGGTTTGCTTAAGCTCGCACACTTTTGTGTAGCGATTATCATGATTTTGCGGCTCAAAATGCACGAAAATTTGGCTTTAAAAGCTCATAACTACTTTCAGAGCGATGCATCGCAGATATAGAAGGTATATCTGAGATCAGCTTCTTGAGCTCTATCCACTGATATAGAACTCCTTCCGAATCGCCACTTCGAATAAGTGAACTTCCCTTGTGAGACAATTTGAAAAGAAGCATGCCCTTTCTCATCAGTTTATCTAGATCGCCGCTGACTCTGTTTGTGAAAAAACTTCTTCTCACATTCTTCCCTGCTCTTGGTATTACCATTTATGAGGTCCCCCTCTAGTAATAGAACTTCTAGTCTCAAAGAAGTTGGCGGGATTGAGTAGGCAGTCTCCGAATAATATTTTGTGAGCCATATTAAGATCAAACTTCCGTCTTTTATTGGATAGGCTGACCAATCCTAAGACCTTATTCCGATCCTTTCCGTTGGGTAAAAGCTCGTATTTGAGACCTTTGGTTCTAATCAGCAACTTTCTTGTAAAGCTGTTTTGCACTCTTTCTGGTACTTGTACAGTTCTCCGCTTCATGTCGTGTCGAGAAAGTCACGCTCTTTCGAATGAGCCTAATTGCAGGCTCGTAGCACGAATGACGCCTGAGCTACAAGTCTGTAAATTGGTACAAGTCATTAATGAGGTGCAGGCGAGATCCTGCGCACGCACTTCAAGAGCCTTTTTCAGCTATAAATCTCACTCGCACACGTCAAATGCATAGAGAATAATAGAAAAACATTTATTTTATCTGAAAAGCTTTGTTAGGATGTTTTGCACCAGTTTTTAGGTGAAAAAAATTTGGTTTGGAAGAGGGAATTAAAAGTTGATTTCAAAAAAATGCAAAATGATCCTGGCTTGCGCTTTTCCAGGAAGTAGCCATAACCAGATTATAGTTCTTGATGAGTTCTGTATGATAGTATTGTAAGAGTCCCTTTACTAATGCAGGTGTTTACAGAAGGCAGCGGAGATGCCGCTGATAGCACGCCAAGCCGCGTACAAGAGGGTGGCGTAAGGAGGAAAAAAGGAGAGATCTCGGAACCCCAACTGCAGAGCGGTAAGCTCACCCACAGATCGTCATGCATCAACCTCTGCTGTTTCTTCCGTGTCTTCACGTACTGTGTCAATGAATCATATTATTACGACTTTATATCGCCTGCTAGTAAAGAGAATATCTATTGGGCCCAGATCTTACCGTGGGGGTGATCAGCATGCTCGATTACACCCCTCTGCCAAATTCCAGCCCCCTAGCTCAAATTTTGCAAAAAATCGATAAATCGATATCGATCGATGACGAAAAGTAGCCTATGACACCCGCCGGGGCCCGAAGTGTATGTGTGCCAAGTTTGGTCCCGATCGATTCAGAAATGGAATTTTCTATTCGGAACATACGTACAGACAGACATACATACAGACAGACAGACAGACATACAGACAAACAAACATTCAGCTTTATATATAAGATACTGACGCACTTGAGACACTTGTACAAAATTCCCAAACAACAGCAGCAAAGTTCTTTTCGGACACAATAACATGGCGCTGGAAGCACACATACAGCAATTGAATGAAGGCTAAAATAAACTTATCCTTGCCTAGAGACGAAACAGGCACAAAAATTGGATTTCTATTTTTCAAAACAAACAAAATGCGAAATGCAGATGTGAGTACCGTCTCCTCAATATTGTATGTATCTTTATGTATGCGATGCAAATGTTTATATTATGCTGTAGAATTTTCACACTCAGATAATTTCAAAAAGGCGTAAGGTGCCATGTTGCATAGGCATGACTGCAAATAAGGCAGTTTTCATTATTAGACAGCTTGTTGATGATTTATGTGTCGCCAATCTAAGAAACTCTATTCTACATAATAGCTTTTGGCCCATAGGGTATGATATCTGTGATCGCAGCTGTCTAATTTTAAGCAACAAATCACTCACTCTTAAGTGAGATGCTCCGTTTTACTGCTTCTAGAAATTTGCAAATATCACAGAGGCTGCCTCTCCCAGTTCAAAACCGGGTTCGCTTTTGTGGATAATATAATCCAAGGTAGGTCACTTGGTCACCACCAAATTGGTGCATTAGCAAGCGAAACACCTCGGCCAGTAATCACCTCGTACACCATGCGTAATCGGGAGAGTCGAGGCCAGAAGACTGCGTGGCAGAAAGGACAGGGAAGGAATGTTCGAAATTCTCTGTGCTAAGCTACTCAGAGGGGAAAGAGTTAGTGAAATCGAAAAGGACCAACTCTTAGCTACAATTACCAAAGCCAACCATAGCTCCAATAGACCCGAAGAAACTTATCTTTCGGCAAACTCGTGAGCACACTTCAAAGAACACTTTTTTATCTGTAAGAAAGTTAAGAGTCTGTACAAATATTATCTGCTTGTTTAGCAAAAATTAGCGAGAATCCCACACAGATACCAGCTGGCTGAAGTACTTGTCCGTGGCAGTGTCTACTTCATATGAAGCAGTAGCACAAACTGCTATATTGATGACCTTTCGAGTAAGACAGCAAAATCTGGGAGGCTTCGATATATTTTTGACTGCAGCTAGAGATAACCATACAGCGATAGTTAGCGATCTAAATGAATTAGGTATAATTATATGAGGAAGTGAAATTGATAAAAACTGTAATGTCTGCAGGAGAGGTATCGTCTGCGCCCCAGAGAGGTTCCCATAGGTACCACGTCATCTCACTGCCTTTCGCACTTTTGAACGTGTTAACCTCGGGCACTTCCATTGAAATCTTAGGAGAAACGTGTCAAAAAGAGCGAAAGGCAGCGTCGCACCACGTACGCACGCTGGTTCACATGGGAACCTTTCTGGGGTGCAGACGGTATCATATGTTATGTAAAGAACAGTCGCGCCGTGGGCTATACTACAGTACGTGCATAATAAACAGAAATAGCGGAAACTAATGGAGAAGGATAGGAAGAAAAAAGACTGAAAGAAATGTGCCTTGCATAACTTTGCTGCCTCCAACAGATTCAAAGGATTCAAGGCTGGAAACTGAAAGAGTTATGTAGGAACTTGTAAACTGCACATAGATAACAAGTAATACATGATTACGATAATTCTGCAGTGTGGATAAATCCCAAATTATTTTTGACCAAGTTGGACGAAAGTGCAAGACTTTGGAAGAGGATGGCGCAGTTGGCTCTGCCCTCGCGAGCAGTGCAGGGACATTAGCGAACATTGCAAACCCATCTCCATAAACACCTATCAGCGACGTTTGATTTTTTAAAATTATGTAATCATCCCTATATAATAAAGCGCGTCGGTCATTCTGTAACCCCCCCGCGGCGGGAGACTGTGGAGTAAACAAGTTTGTCGGTTTGCGCCGGTGCATGCGTACCGAGCTGATGACTCATGTAATTGATGCCTGTCTTAGACGATGTTGATCAACAGCCAAAACTAACAAAGTGCAACCATCAAGTAGCTGAACCTAGTTGGTGGTAACATCGACTAAAACCGCCTGCAAAAGGGAAATTTGGGGCTTAGCTTGCAAATATCAAAGATCACGAGTTTGGAGATTTAGCAAAAAACTTCGATATTGAAGACTTTGTCCGTAAGAGTGAATCCGGTCGACGAAACTTTTCTTAACGGTTTTGGTTTAGCCAGGCTACGTATGCATGCATTTTTGAGATGTACTCGACCTGGAATTTCAAGGATGGGTAAAGATTAAAGATTAGGGAGATAGGGTAAAGATTGTGGTAAGATTTTCGCAATTCCAAAGCAGATGTGGGCACACTACTGAAGTTTTTCTGAGAAAAGGGTAGACACTTCAAATATGCCTTTCAGAGTAGGAAGGAGGTGTTGAGAAGAGGTAACGATAAGGATTCAATCTGTCAAAAACTAGCGACAATGAATCCTTGAGCATTTTTCTGACAAGGGAAGGAATGTGGGTCGAAGTGGCCTTTCAGAATGAGATGGGTATCATCTTGTAGGGCTTCGAACGCTGATTTCAAATCTGCCTTCCTTATCTGCGGCGCGTTTTTGGGCGAGGAGCTATGAGGGTTTTTAGGGGCGGAAGTCTATACAAGTACAATCAAGGACAGCACACCGCTGTGTGCCATCTGCTGTAGTGGTTAGTGTGTGGTCTTGCAGGAAGAGGCTCCCAGGTTCGAATCTCCTACCGTGGTTTTCCTTTTGCTGGTCTACAAAAAATTTGTATGAGCACGCGTATCGTCTATACATCAACTCTTCCTTCTTTTAACTGCAAAGCTCTTTAAAAAAGTTTTATTACTCTATATTTTCAAACGTCTATGTGCACTGATGAAAGGAGAGGACAAAATGTGCAAAACATACGTGCGGGCGGGCAGGCGGGCGCTTCAAAATCTCTCGGATGTGTATCAAGGTAGCCGCTGGCGTACCAGGAATAAGCCAAGAGAACAGGCTAGAATATCTTGTGGGTTAATGAGTTTTTGACTTCGTAACTTGTACGTGAGTTTTTTCAGCTTTACCAGCTATGAACATGGGTCTCTGCATGTTGAGAACATTGTAACCTCTTACGTTCACCGGGGTGTTACGTGACAAATTGATTCTTTTGACATTTCTACCTCCACTTTAAATCACTTGCAAAGACCTTCAAAGAGAGCAATTGTTGCCTCGAGATTTTATAAAAGAAACAGAGGGTGTGCATAGACGCTACTCATGTTCATACTAATTTTTTGTATGACCAGCAAAACAGAAACCACAGCAGGAGATTCGAACCCGGCAGCCTCTGCTTGCAAGACCACTACACTACCCACTACACCAGACGACACACAGCGGTGTGCTGTCCTTGATTGTACATGTATCGACTTCCGCCCCTTAAAAACCCTCATAACTCTTCACCCAAACATGCGCCGCAGATAAGGAAGGCAGGTTTGAAATCAGCGTTCGAAGTCGTACAAGATGATACCCATCTTATTCTGAAAGGCCACTTCGACCCACCTTCCTTCCCTTGTGAGAGAAGCTTGAGGTCACCAGAATGTTTCTATGTGTTTGAAAACCATATGGGAGAAACAAGTGACAAAATAAGAAAAGTTGGAGGGTCAGGTCACCTCATCAAGCTTTTGAGGATATCTTTGATCGAAGAACACTCAAAAATTGTAGGCACTTCATTAGGAAAGCCTTTCGAAATAAAAAAGAAGTTTTGCTTAATAAGCTTCGAGAGTAGGGAACGGTAGGTGGGGGAACGGAAGGGGTGGGGGACTTTACGTGCAATCTGGCAAGAAACTCTTTATTTCCCTCCAGGTTTGGTTCGCCGGAAACTATCCTTTTGATACATGCCAGCTGCGCATAGGTTCTGCCTTTCAGATACTGCAACTCAAAAGCAGTGGCTCGGCAGAATGACAACCTTGAGATATTCGTCGTTCTTGGCTCCCCTAGATGAGCTGAGTCTTACACTGTGCTTTGCAGCTTTTGAAGATATCAATAACTTGCTTTTTCGGACGTGGAAAGTGCTGTTTGGTCGGATAGCGAAAGCCCGTCCGTTCGTAGAACGATTGACTACTGGAACCATAATCTAATTGCCGTCGAGATCGGTACGATGTTTCTACCCAACACCCGGGCTATACAAGCCAATCGCTTCCTAGAAGACGGCCTTTCGTCTTCCGCCCGCCTTTTTTACGTCTGGAAAAACGAGTTATTGATATGTTTTGAAGCTGCAAAGCACAGGAGTTCGCCCATCCAGGGAAACCGAGAACGACGAATACAAGTCGCCGATCTGTCGAGCGGCTGCCTTTAGCGTCACCAACTGCCCAACAGCAAGCACTGACAAAACTATATTCTACGTCATTTCTTGCGACAGCTTTACACGTGTCTCACGATTTCGATAAGCGAAATTAATACGGTCCTAAGAGGTCGTATACGCTATGAGCAACAAACATGTAAGACTTAGACTTCACTTGATGGAGTTCCCAGTTTTGCTTTGTCGAATCGTAGTACGCTCAAGTTTTCGAAGTTTAAGCCCTTACAATTGAAGGCATGAAATTCTAGCAAAATCTGCGTAAACGATGGGCATATGTAAGAAACAGAAGACTGACCTTCTAAAAATTTAACAGCCCCAACAGAAATGGTACTTTTGAAAACAGCGCTTGAAACAAGAGGTAAGAAAAGCGCACATTAATTACCAAACAACCTAATACTTCACCCAGACTGTCATCTCAAAAGTAGTGTATTGGTGAAATGGCCAAACTCACGAAGCAATGTAAAGATTCCAGACGGCATAGAGAAGCTGTCCTTTTGAAGTTTCTTCGCCAAAAATAATATACGAAACAACAAATATGCCGCAACCACCGAAGCCCCATGGCGTCATACCGATTGAAGCGACAGTGAGCATCTAAAATTACATACATAAACTGAATCATATGAACAGCCAGAAAAAAACACCACCAGCTTAAGATACACATGAAAAGCACATTCTCACATTGTCACTAAGGAATTATGTTGTTAACTCTTTTTCATCTCAAAAACTCATGTTTACAACAGGTTCCATAACTTTTCGCTTTTTTTGAATCGGGTCGCTCATTTCTTTTCACATTACATAGGTTAGAATGCGAACTGCAAAGTGAGAAAAATTGCTTGCCTGCATGAAATAAATCCAGGTACTTGTAAATTGGTGAACTCACGGATTTCTGCGGTTATGAGCAGATATTGAGCCGTTTGCAACTTAAACCACGACCAACGACCCGAGAACATGAACCGTTGCAAGATTTGACTTATTTTACTCAAAAAATGGAATTCGAAGAAAAATCGTGATTTAGTGCTCTCGCACTTTGAATGAGTACACAGTACGTGCTGAGAGACAACCATAAAAGATTAAGCCTAGAGATCTCGAAGGCCGAGACTTCGCAAGTAAGGTTATTGGATCTGTCAAACACGAATATCATAATTACTTATAAAATCATGGCAGCCCATGAGCTTGACTATTTTCCCGAAATTATATAAGAACTCTTTTAGATTTGTCAATTGGATACGACTCGAAAGTGAGAGCAAATTTGAAGTCATTCTAACCAAAATCTGCGAACCATGCTTTTTGAGATGTTCAAGTTTCACGATTTTTTAAAACTTTTGTATCAGTCCTCAGGAGCTCAAGTAAAGATACAATAGAGTGTGCCTTACAGAATACAGTACTACTTTTTTCTCTTTCTCGTAGCTCGCCGTAATTTTTTAAAAGATTTTTTTTAACAAAACCATCGGATTTTGGCAGGCCCACCTCAGCCACAACCGCATCAAACATCAGTAATTACTCGGAGTTTCAAGCTTTCAAAATGATATATGACTTAATATTGATTTTATAAAGCAAATGAGAGTTTACGGGTTCGATATATCAAATTTCGAGTTTTTCGGGTAGAGCCTGGGTCTCGCTAAAGAAATGAGTTATGATGGTTTTTTCCCGGAAACTAAACGAATCGGAAACGAAAAACACCTGTTGGAAAGAGGAGAAGATGCTGCATCGAATAGTGCGCGAACTGCTCTTCTTTCGATGTTCTACGAGGATTTAGCTGCCCAAGTATGGATATCGGTAGCATCAGTTAAAATTCTGTTAAAAATTAGGACAAGCTATGGAAAGGAGAAAATAGTAGTTTTGCATTCTGCAAGGTTTGCTCTATAAAGGCGTTACTTGAACTCCTTCGGAGGATTGATATGAAAGTTTTTAAAAATCGTGAAACTTGACCATCTCAAAAAGCATGGGTCGCAGATTTTGGTTATTTTCTGAAAGCTCTTCGACTGTTTTGCAACAATTTTATAACCATGAGAAAGAGAATGAAATTCTGCATCTAATGCCTCCAAGATCTCTCAAAAAGCTTTGTTCCATCAAATGTGGCGCCCGTTTGAAAAAAGCGAAATTACTTTTGGAAGGACCTAATATTTCATTTTTGAGGTTATGCATCGTTTACGATGATTTTGATAAATAAATAAATAAATAAAATTAACGCCTCTTTTAGTGATTAGGGTTAGATCCAATACCGTAAACCTACAGTAATCTTACAAAGGCCTTGCCACGCCTTGCCAATTGCAGCCTTGTTCTCATAATCACCTCGTCGGATAACCCCCTATGCCGAGTTTCAGAATTGTCTAGGAAGAATTTGAGAAATTTGAGTGCGTCATATACAAAGAGATAAAAATTGGAAAAAAGTTGTAAAGCTTAACTTGTGATCTAATAAAATGTCGCAAATTGTACTCTTTTGAAGGTTTTTTGCGCTATACTCACTTTTCAATTATTGTGCCATGACCTTCTGCTAACAAAGAATTAGATGAGAAAAATAGACTAGAACATCTTCTTATGTCGTGCGTTGTTTCAAAATCTTTTTTTATACCCATTAACTCTTGATTGACTGGTTATGAGCACCGGCAGAACCTATGCCAATGCCAACAGAACTTCGTTTCTTCTAATTTCTCATTTTTAATAAACTAATACTATGTCCCGTACCTTAGTCACCCGAACATTTTCAGCAAGTTGAAATTTCATGCTAAGTGTATACGTAATGATCGATGTTCCCGCTTCGTTGGAAAGATCTTGGAGCTTAGCCAGATCACGGCGATAGGTCCCCACTACAGCTAGGAACGAAAGCAAGAATATTGCGGCGGCAAGCAACGTCATGAGCAGCATGAAGTATAAACCTAAGTTGACATTAATGGCAAAAAACTACGGGAAATAATGCTGTGATGAGAAAAAGAGACCTTTCTTTGTTGTAGTCGCCTCTGTGACTCACCCAGTTGAAAAAGCATGCAGAATGTGACCGTGAGCACTATGGATGTCCCATTTGCTAGAGTGGAGACCCAAGAGCGGCCAGTCTTCTCATAGTTATTGATATAACGTGATGCAAACCATCGTTCGAGTGTGATTGCCGGTATGACCATTGGCAAACAGCACAAAAATAAGAATCTCAAAGATAATATAATACACAACCAAAGGTCGGAGGAGCCTGAACATTAGGAGTTTACACAGAGTGGGCGGCCAACCCATATGGAGGTCTAATTTGGAAGGTCTCTTGAGATGCACTACTAATTACATATGATGCGTAGCAGTTGCGGATGTGATCATCGCTAACACAAATATTGTTTAGGAGAGATTCTTGAATGAGTGGGAAGGTTGGCTCTTTTGCTTTGCAGAGGCATGATTACCCTTTCACGTTTCGTATTGCTATTCTTCCTGAAATTTTTCTCAATCCTGCTTTCGTATACAAAGTGCGAAACACGTGAGGACCCCAATACTTCTCCATTCTTTCTGAAAAGTCAAATCTGGTAAGCGTGGACGAGTGCTGCGGCGTAGTATGCAGTAGGATGTACCGTCGCATGCAACGGGAAAGCAGTACGCAGCGTTTTTGACTGCACTTGCCATGTTAGAGCGCGTCAGCGGGCAATCTTTGAATGGGCAAGCGACCCTAAATGAGAGTAGAGTCACTCGTGTCGATGTCTTCTGGATTCTTTCCCTGTTTAGAAATAACTTTTCGCAACGCATCCTGAGTATTTGCCTAATGCGGAGCTATTATCACTTAGCACAAAACCTCATATCCTAACTTTGTGTGGAAAGATCCTTTGAAAATATCTGGCCAAGAGTGAGACACACAAGCTTACGATAGCAGTGACGAACCCGCATTATTGCAAGAAATGAGCACTTGGTGTAGCATGTTCTATTGCACAAGGAAATTAACACGGTTCGAACCGGTGCTTCGAACCGGTACATAGTACAGCACGCGGATTTAGGGGATCTTCTCAAATCCTCCACTGAGTTTTGTCATGCTCCAGGGATATGTTGAAGACCCTAGACCCGCAAGATGATTTTATAAGCTGTGCCGCCACTGTATTAGAAAATACAATGACAGATCAAAAAACAGCGTCAACATAGTGCGACGATGCAAATGACGGCTGCTACGTTGCAACTTTTACTTGCTTTATTGTACAGATGTGTACCGTGTACATACAGTGACCGCCAAAAAGCTGCGGACAAGCCGCTCTCCTTTTTTCATCGTTTATTTTCAGATGGAAAACAAAGATGAAAAAATGATCCGATTGCACGTGGTGATAGAGCTCATCAAGAGCTACAACCCGCATATCGCGCTTTCTGGAAAACATCTATTATAAAAATTTTAAAAATGTTTTTCTGAAAAAAGTCCGAAAATGGACGCGTCACAATTTCGCGGACATTAATTCTTCGAACGCGAAAATTTTCTTTTAGGTCTTTTCTTGGGGCAAAAACAGAAGTTTTCCGGACAGGTAAGCATAGTATATTGTAGAAATAATCGGGGACAATAATATGGTAGTGATTACTTTCAAAAAAACTCAAGCTGGAATTTTATTTTGCTTCTTTTCAAAAAATAACTTCTAATTTCTGCTTCAAGCCAAATTTCTTCACATGGAAACCCATTCAAGAGATCCAAACGAAGCTATTTGGATAAAATGGATGCCCTTTGTAATCTTCTATGCATCGGACGTGTGCTGGAGAGTCTCTTTGTCAAAAATGGCTCTTGACAGTGCGTGCACATGACCCCACCTGCACCTCACCACTGACTTGCACCGGTTTGCAGGCTTGTAAGTCAGCCGGCAGTCACTCTACGAGACTGCAAGTAGGCTCATTCGAAAGAGCATGACTTCCTGGACACGATGGTGTGCAAAAGAGTTGGGTATGACAAACAGCGGAGAAATGGCGGATGGGGTGTCAATGCGCAGCTTCAGTGGTAGGCTAAGGAATTTTCAGCTAAAGTTAGAAAGGGCTCCTTTCGCTACCAATTTCATCCTAGGAGTTCAAAACTGTCAATTTTCGTGTAATAGATTTATTTCGAAGCTCTGAGACTGTTCTTGTGTTGATAGGAGCCTTCACTCCATTCATCTCCAGTGCTGCGCTTTGACACCCTATCCGCCATTTCTCCGCTGTTTGTCATACCCAACTCTTTTGCACATCATCGTGTCCAGAAAGTCATGCTCTTTCGAATGAGCCTACTTGCAGTCTCGTAGAGTGACTGCCGGCTGAGTTACAAGCCTGCAAAGCGGTGCAAGTCAGTGATGAGGTGCAGTTGGGGTCATGTGCACGCACTGTCAAGAGCCATTTTTGACAAAGAAACTCTCCAGCACACGTCCGATGCATAGAAGATTACAAAGGGCATCCATTTTATTCAAATAGCTTCGTTTGGGTGTCTTGAATGGGTTTCCATGTGAAGAAATTTGGCTTGAAGCAGAATATAGAAGTTATTTTTTGAAAAGAAGCAAAATAAAATTCAAGCTTGAGGTTTTTTGAAAGTAATCACCACCATATTATTGTCCCCGATTAGTTCTACAATATACTATGCTTACCTGTCCGGAAAACTTCTGTTTTTGCTTCAAGAAAAGACCTAAAAGAAAATTTTCGCGTTCGAAGAATTAATGTCCGCGAAATTGTGACGCGTCCATTTTCGGACTTTTTTCAGAAAAACATTTTTAAAATTTTTATAATACATGTTTCCCAAAAAGCGCGATGTGTGGGTTGTAGCTCTTGATGAGCTCTATCACCACATGCAATCGGATCATTTTTTCATCTTTGTTTTCCATCTGGAAATGAGCGATGAAAAAAGGAGGGCGGCTTGTCCGCAACTTTTTGGCGGTCACTGTATGTACGACACAGATAGGTTTCATTATCATTGGATTTTGAGATTTCTTTCCTATCTTCCAAAAAAAAGAAGTCCTTCTCAGATGACAAAATTTTAAGGCTTTGAATTCATTCAAAACTTTCTGTACGAGCATTATGTATTGGGTTGTTTCAAAAGTTCTACCCGTTTTCGATACCTTTTTTTGAACTGCCCATTTTGGAGGAAGAAACCATTTTTCATAAACAATACTTATATCATTCAAAAGCTCTTTTCTTCTAGTTTTTCAGGCATATTTTCATTTTCATAGATCTTTGTTCGCTGTGTGGTTGCGTACTTTGAAAAGACAGCGAAACAAATGTGAAAATTTTCGTTTTTGCTCTATCGTCGTAATATCTACAGCTAAAAGAAAAAAGTTCTTTTAGAACATACATAATACTTACTTGAGATCTATGCTACGAAACGCTCATCGAGATATGAACTCAGAAAAATTTTGAACCTACAAATTTTTAGCTCAAACATAACCTGTCTTTATGGTCCCTTCAAGTCGCATAAAAATCATAAACATATTGCAATCGCGGAGCTTTTACTCTATATAGTAAGATTAGAGCTAGAACAACTGCTACTAGAAGAGCGAAAAGGTTTCCTGGTTTGTCAACGGCGAACAAAATCAAAAATGTCAAAAAATTGCATTTTTTGCCACCTCAGAAAGAGCGAAATAAGTGGGTCCTTTCGGATTTTATAGCACAAAACTTTTATGAAAGAGTTTGATGAAATCCAAAGTTAGCGGTACTGCTCAGTCGACTACGGGCTACACTGTGAGCACTGCTTGTGCAACTCAGCTATATTCCAAATCAAGTTATGCCTTTGCAAAGTGAAGGTTTCTACAAGGAGATATTCCTCGATTTTCGCCTATAAAATCTTCTCCGCTGTTACTTCAATAATCTTGAAGAGTGCGCAGAATAGCCAAAGATATGCTGATTGTAACACAGCTTATAGCAGTTGCAAAGATTATTTCTGAGAAGAGTTATGGTAAATCAAAGTCAAAGTTCGAAAACGGGTAGAACTTTTGAAACAACCCAATACTTAACACAAATATATTACTTGCTTCATGAAATAAGGTTTTTTCGCTGACAAAGGGCCGCGCATAGCACGCGATTTCAGCCGCGACGCGATTTGGCAACTCGCCAGAGGTCTTCAGATCCAACACTAGCAAACTGCACATGCATAATGTGTATAACTTACGCGGATTGATAAAACGCTCTATCTTCTGTACATTTGAAATATGCTTACAGTGCGTTATGGACAGTTGATATATTGCCAAATCGCGCTGAAATCGCGTGAAGTATGCCCGGCCCCTTAACATACGAAAGTGCAAGATTTTTTGCCACCCGTAACTATGCGGTTTGAAACGTATCAATGAAGGCGCGAACCAATGTATTTTGGGACACCCAAAACAGAGGCGGAGCAGTGTTAAAAAAGATCTTTGGGCCTGGTTTACTGGAATTAAGCGAGCGGTTATCTGACGAGCCCTGGCACATCAAACAGCGTATGTGGTCAGCGGGGAATTTTCGATTAACCACACTTACAGCCACTCTGGACTATTATAACAGAACTTTGAAGTGTAAATTACCTGAACTCTTTATAACATTTATGTCGTAGAAGAACACAAACACCCGCAATATCTGCGATATCGTGACCGAAAATAGGTGCAGCTGAAATAAAAGTTGTCAATGGCATGGGACTTGCTAGCAGAGACCTTGAAACTTCCACCTTTAGCGTCACATATCCAAGTTAGGTGTTTATGGAAGAAAACGCTTTTTCAAGAGAAAAACATGCTATGCATGGGACTGTTTTAATTGTATGCCCTCTGCTGAATCTCGCACGACCGCCTCGCTTGCGCTCTTCCCCCTTTCGCAAGCGTGCTCTTCGATAATTTTCCTAATTAGCGACTGAAGCTCGGTCCTTTTTACTCTCAGATGTGGGAAAATGATTAGAGAGCACGATCACGAAAGAGAGCAGAGCAAAAGCAAGTCAAAGGGCAAGATATAAGCCGCTCGCGCAGACTTACTCCAATTGAGACAGTATTAAGGATATGGTAACCGAGTCACGCAGAAAATACAGGGATGCAAATTGGCATTTTTCTTGTTTTTTGTCGCCTAATTACCGTGTTTGCGTACCTAAGCAATTTTTCGGTCCATAATCATTGTCTGAGTAGAATCTTTTGATGGCGCGCGCAGCGGACAAATCGCCAACTTTTTGAAATTGTTTTGAACGTTTGCAGGACCTGGCGCGATGTCG